GGACCGAAGGATCTGTTTCCGTGCTGTACAGCTCTATGACTCTGTGACTGACTAGTGTCCTTGACTCTGAGGCTCCAGCATACACACACGGGCCTGGTTTGCACAGATGGACAGGTAGCAGGGTGGGGTGGAGGTTGAGGGGGTGCGGATTGGGGGGAGGGCAGAAGGGAGGGGAGGAAAGGGTCAGTGGCAGATTGTGAAAGCTGGCTTGTCAAACTCTTGCCAGCAGACATGTGGCAAGAGAGAAACGGGTAAACAGGTGGGCAGTACCCACTAGGGCATTGAGTTGACAGATTGTGTTTTTCATCAGTGACCCACACCTGCTGGAGAGAGAGAGGCAGAGAGCTGTGTGTGTGTGGTGTGAAGAGAGACACGCTGATCTGATGGCAAAAATAATAATCCCGGCCTCGTCCAAAACTACAAGCCCTTTCTCTGAAAATAGAATGGATGCATTTAAGAGGAAATAGAGAAACCCATAAAGAGAAAGGAACTGAAGGATATTATTCCTGAACTTGGGTTCTGGGTGTTTCTGACAGATGAGGGGTAGAGGCTAGACCAAAGCAATCAATGAACAGTATTTACAGGGATGCATTTCAACAACAATCCTGTAGAAACTTCATTCCCTCAGGTGCCAGCTGATCTAACATCACAGTTTATGTGTTCTTGTAATTCGCATACCTGCTATTAACCCTTCATGCTACAGATCTCTTGAAATGCTCCGAAAGTTTGTGATTTCAAATAAACCTATTTGGACTGTGACCAGGTGTCGTGTGTCTTCTAACTTAGTTAAGTGCAAACCTTTTTTATTTGAAGCACTAACTGCAGTGATGAGAGGCTACCTCTGAGATAGCCGATCCTAAATTGCGAGTTTGGTAGTTAACTTGGCTCAGTTCTTGGTTCTAGGCCCGAAACGTCAGCCTTCCTGCTCCTCTGATGCTGCTTGGCCTGCTGTGTTCATCCAGCTCTACACCTTGTTATCCCATGACACTATTCAGGACTGAAAAATGAAGCATCAAAAGTCATTTTAAGACCTAGTTCCAGGAATGAGAACTTTCAGTTATGAGAATAGATTGAAGAAGTGGGGACTGTTCTCCTTGGATAAAGGAAAATTGAAAGAAGATTTAATGGAGGTTTTCAAAATCATGAGTGGGGTGGATAGAGTCGATAGGGAGAAGCTGTTCCTGCTTGAAAAAGGAACAAGAACTAGAAGGCATAGACTTAACATGTTCTGTAAATGAGGCAAGGGTCATTTGAGAGAAATTGTTTTCACTCAACAAGTAGTTCAATAATGGAAATATGGTGGAGGCAGGTTGAATTGAGACATTCAAGAGGGCTAATTATTTGGATAGAACTAATGCACAAAGGTTTGGGGCAAAAGCAAGAGATTGGCACTGGGTAATGATACTCGTTTGAAGAGTCTATGCAGGCATGATGAACCGAATGGCCTCCTGCGCCATAACAGTTTGGTGTTTCTGTGATTATAAGATCTGAGAAGAAGGATATCCAACACAGAAAGGGAGAAACACCTGCAACGTCATATTTGAAGGCATTGAAAGCCAAGTCAAGTCTGAAGCTAGGACCAAAAATACAAAGAAAGGGCAGTCTGCTAGAAAAAGGGAAGGAGGGAGACTGCATCCCATCAAGATAATGTCTGACACAGAATCTCTAACCCACCTTCTTCCAGAAATCACTTGATCTTATCTACCTTACCACATTCCTTACTGTAGGTGAAGTTGAAGATAGTGTTCAGGTCTCAGTAGAAATATGAAATACAATTCAAGTAATTGTGGAGTTACACATTGGTCAGTCTGTCAGTGGTAGAGATAACATTTGAGTGTGTCAACTGTCACTGTCCATATTTATCCAAAATGTTGTTACCATAATGTGCTAACATCATTGTAGATGCAGTAATGTACATTACCAATGTCCTGAAAACTCTTAATCTAATAGATATAATTTACTGGATTTTCAGTAGACATTTGGCGAAAGTCAGCAGTCAGACCTTTGGAGAAAATCAAAGCTTACTGAATGAATAACAGTTTTCTGCTTGGATTGCAAATAGTCTTGTCTATGAAAAGCAGATGTGGAAATAAAGGGATTGTTGTCAGGAACAACTGGATCTAGTGAAGTTTCCTGGGTATTTAATAGTGTTCTTTTTCTACTCAATAAGCAGCACCAGTTATGTTTCAGTAGTATAAAATTAGGTAATGCCACCAAACAAGTCAACTAGAAGAATGTAATATGGTGTTTAAAGAGATCGGATGAATCTCGATTGGATTTTAATGTGTGTAAATGGCAGGGAATGCAGATTGGTACAGAAATTAATTAGTGTAATAGAATAGAATGTGCGCATTGAATGATTCTCATTGAAGATAGAAAAAGCAAAAGCTTTGGGTTGGATTGTTGAATACCTATATTTTGTGAAACTTTTTGTGCTATGCTAATCAAGATAATCTGGAATTTGGAAGGCATTTTGTTGTAATTTACAGCAATTTTTTCAAACTTGTGGATTTTAGTTGTACACCTCCATCTTGAACAGATTGGCCAATTTTGAATTTCTGCTCCCTGATAGAGAACTGTGCGTGGCAGAGCATTCAAAGGGACAGGAAGCTGCAGTTTCCTGAATTCCGATACGGAGCCAGGGAGAGCATATATGGAAATCACTGACCTAATGGGGAAAAAAACTCTGATCTGAAATTCATCCCACTAATTCTACTCGTAGTAATGTTTCACTTGGGTATTGATGCACAGTTAGTATTAGATCACTTCGAAATTTGATATGTAGGATTAGGATTAGTAAAGCTTGATACAAAAGAAAGGTAAGAGACAGAGGGCAGAAATTTACTGTTTCCAGTTCAAATGTTTTGTCATGTAAGGTGTGTGACATCCAGTCAATCGTGGCTTGGACTGGTTGGTTGTGGAGATGGTGGTGGGATTGCTTAGCTCTGTCTATCACTTGTTGTTATGCTGTTTGGTAGCTTTAATGGGTTGACAACTCATTTTTAGGTATCCTTGGTGCTGCTCCTGGCATGCTGTCCTCCTGCACTGAACCAGGGTTGATCCCCAAGCTTAATGAGAATTGTTGTGTGGGGAATATGCAAGGCCATGAGATTGCAGATTGTGCTGGAGTACAATTCTCCTGCTGTTGATGGCCATTGGTGCCTCATGGATGCCCAGTCTTGAGTTGCTAGACCTGTTTGAAATCTGTCAATTTAGTACAGTGATAGTGCCACACAACACGATGGAGGTTATTCTCAACATGAAGTTGGGACTTTGTCTCCACAAAGACTGTGGTAGTTACTCTTACCATTACTGCCATGGACAGATGCATCTGCGGCAGGCGGATTGATGAGGATGGGGTCAAGAATGTTTTTTCTTCATATTGGTTCTTTCACCATCTGCTGCAGACCCAGTCTAACAGGTGTGTCCTTTAGGACCCAAGCAGCTCAATCAGTAGTGCTGCTGCTGAGTCACCCTTGTTGCTGGACATTGAAATCCCCCACCCAGAGTACATTTTGCAACCTTGCCACCTCAGTGCTTCCTTCAAGTGTTGTTGAACATGGAGGAGTACTGATTCATCAACTGAGGGAAGACGGTGCATGGTAATCAGCAGGAGATTTCCTTGCCCATGTTTAACCTGAAGCCATGAGACTTCATGAGGTCCGGAGTTAATGCTGAGGACTCCCAGGGCAACTCCCTCCAAATTGTAAACCACGGTGCCACCACCTCTGCTGGCTCTGTCCCATGAAAGGACAGACCCAGCAGAGGTGGTGGCAGTGGTATACAATGTTCTGTCCTGTCGTGGGACAGGACACATCCAGGGATGGTGATGATGGTGTCTGGGACATTGTTAGGTATGATTTTGTGACTATGACTATGCCAGCCTGTTGCTTGATTAGTCTGTGAGACAGCTGTCCCAATTCTGGCACTAACCCCCAGACGTTTGTAAGGAGGATTTTGTAGGGCTGTTTTTGCCATTGTCTTTTCCAGTGCCTTGGCAAATGCCAGGTATTCTAACCGGCTTCATACAACTGATTGATACAACAGTGTCTCTGACTAGTCTTTTGGTCATCTGAACTAACATCTCTATTTTGTCGTATTTTGTTTTGTTATGTTCCAGTACATTGCTTTGAGATTTCTAATTATGTTGAAAGGTACAGCATAAGTATACATCATTGTCGTTGGTGTCTCTTCAAATCTGTTGCTGTCTTGTAGCTATTCATCTGTGAATTATCTGTTATGAGCCAGTGTCCACTTCTGAGGAAGGGTTACTGGACCCAAAATGTTAACTCTGATCTTTTTCTTCACAGATGCTTTTTCAGCAACTTTGTTTTTGTTCTGTACAGTAGTGTGTATGAAACTCTCTTTAGTATCAAAGACTGAATTGCGTTCTTACTTTTATTGCCAGGGTTATTTACACACCAGGACATACCTCTGATCACATGGCATTATTACTGCAAGAGGAAAATGCCATATTTTCTGGAGACTGTATTCTGGGAGAGGGTACAGCAGTGTTTGAAGACTTGTACACTTATATGTTGTCTTTGGAAAAGCTCTTGAATATAAATGCTGACATAATATATCCAGGTAAGTAGATGATTCTTAAGTTCTTTCGTTTATTGTTAATTGTTTTACTTCCACTGTGATACACTACTAAATAAATATTTGTTTATAATTCCTCTAAAATATATTAACAGTAAAAGTTTCCCTCAATGAACCTAGCTGCACTAGTGAAAAGTTCATAAATGCATTACCAGTGTTTGCAATGCTCTGTCATGCAGAGGGACCTGGGTATCCTAATGCATGAATCACACAAAGTTAAGTGTGCAGGTACAGCAAGGATTAGGAAAGCTAATGGAGTGTTATCATTTATTGGAAGGGGAGTTAGATACAAAACTTAGGGAGACCATGTTTTAGTTATGCACAGTATGGGTGAGATGACTTCTGGTAGACTGTCTACACTATTGGTCCCCTTATTTAAGGAAGGATGCAAATGTACTTGAAGCAGTTCAGAGAAGGTTTATCAGATTGATACCTAGAATGGGTGGGTTTGCTGATGAGGAATGGTTGGACCGACTAGGCTCATACCTGCTGAGGTTTAGAAGAGTAAGAGGCAATTTGACTGAAACATATAAGATCCTGAGAGCTTTTGACCATGGTATATGTGTTTCCTCTTACCAGAGAATCTAAAACTGCGGATCACTGTTTAAAAATAATCTCATTTAAGACAGGGATGAGGAGAATTCTTTTATCACAGAGGATAATGAATCTTTGGAATTTTTCCTCAAAAGGCAGTGGGAGCAGAGACTTGAATATTTTTAAGACAGAGATAAATGAAATATTGATATGCAAGGGGTGTAAGATTATCGGAATATGGAGTAATCAGATTAGCCAAGATCTCATTGAATGGCAGAGTATGCTGGAGTGTCCTTCTGGCCGTTTTCTACTCCTAATTTTTATGGTTTGCATCACCTAGTGTGGAACTGAAAGTACATGGCCCTATTCTTTCTGATTGAATGGATCTAATCCAAAGTAGCATTTCCTATGCTGAAATTGGCTTCAGAGCTCCTCGATTAGTAAGGTAGGAAAAATCAGGAAGGATTCCTTCTCCCACCCTCCATTCGGTTCCACCTACTTGGGACATTTTCTATATGTCAGGCAAGATAAGGCATGGGCTTAGCTGTTGTGTTTTCATTACATAATAGAATGTGTATACAAATATTCCCAAATCATAGGGAACAGGCCAATTGGGCAAAGTACCAGTGGCCTGCTGGAATTAAATGCTAGGAAAAGCTGAGACCACAAGGAGAAAGTCGAAAACAAAATGGAAATGAATAAATGAAGTAATTATTAGCATGAAGCTTTCACTAATCTATTACATACATTAATGTTTTAATTCAGATAAATACAGTAGGCTCAGTAGCCTTTCAGTTGTGGTGCTTCAGTAGGGGTTACGGGATCATTTTAATCAACAGATAACACAGTTTTCAGTTTGGTATATTGAACGGTGTAATGATAAATTGTAACCATAATGCTGATCAGTTACCTCAGCAGTTTATTTCCTATTCTGTACAACTTTGTGGGTTTTGTCTTCATTTTTCCAATTTTCTCATTGCCCAGGAATGGAAAAGTTGGCACTCAGGATCATTAAAGAAACACTTATGTAAAATACTACAATTATATCCAGCTTCTGGTAATTGCTTGGTAATTGTCTAGTAACTTTTAAACCTTGTGCTTTATTCAACCCACAAACTATCTCCTTAGATATTAATAACTGGTACTGTCACCTTGTTGGTCCCACATTTCTCCTCAGTAATATTTTTGACACTTGGCACTCAAGCTGGGAAAACCCACACAAAGCTAAAGAAATCTTCTACTGATCAACACGCCTCCCACCACCACATAAGTGGCAAGTCCAGACTGTTCTATGTTGAACACTATTCGAAGAAAATAATAAAGGATGCAGGATGTACTCTGAGAGTGGGAAAATGAAGTAAGCATGGAGATGGGAGGAAGAAATTGGAGAAGGACAGGAAAGAGAGAAGGTCAGAAAGCAGGAAGAGGGAGGAAACATTGAAAATAAGAGCAGGCATAGACTATTTGACATTTTGAGCTTGCTCCGCCATTCAGTATGATCATGGCTGATCATTCAACATGCCCTTTGAACCCTTTAGCCTTAAGAACTATATATGTCTTCTCCTCAAAATCATTCAATGTTTTGGCCTCAACCACTTTCTGTAGCAGAGAATTCCTCAGGCTCGTAACTCGCTGGATGAAGAAATTTTTTCTCATCTCAGTCTTAAATTGTTTACCCTGTATCCTTAGGCTGTGACTCCTGTTTCTGGACTCCCTGATCATTGGGAGCATCCTTCCATCGTTTACACTGTGTAGTCCTGTTACAATTTTATAGATTTCCGTGAGATTCTTCCTCATCCTCCTAAACTCCAGTCAATATAGTCCAAATCGATCCAGTCTGTCTTCATACATCAATCCTGCCCATCCCAGGAATCAGACAGATAAACCTTTGTTGTATTCCTTCCACACCCAGAACATTCTTCCTCGGTTAAGGAGATCATAGATCAACATAATACTCCATGTGTGATCTTACCCTTGTTCCTGTATTCGAATTCTCTTGCTGTGAAGACGAACATACTATTTGCCTTCTTCACTGCCTGCTGCACCTGCATGGTTACTTTCATTGACCTACGTCTTGTTTTTCCAATTTTTGTTCCCCAATCTATTACCATTCAAATAATAATCTGCCTTCCTGTTTTTGTTACTAAAGTGGATAACCTCATTTATCCATGTTATACTTCAACTGCCAGGTAGTTACCCACTGACTCAACTTGCTGCAATCGCACTGAAGCATTTCTGCATCCTCCTCACATTTCAACCTCCCACATCACTTTGTGTCATCTGAAAAGTTGAAGCAATTACATTTAGTTCCCTCATCGAAATCATCAACATATCATGAATAGCTGAGGTCCAAGCACCGATCCCTGCTGTACCCCACTAGTCACTGTCTGCCACTCCAAAAGAGACCCATTTATTCCTACTACAAGGTGCAGGTTGTCTCGGATTCTCCAGCATCTGCAGTGCCTACTACCTCTGATTCATTTATTCCTACTGTTTGTTTCCAGTCTGCCAACCAGTTCTCTATCCATGTTAGTACACTACCCCTAATCCCATGCACTTTAATTTTAACTACTAATCTCTTATGTGGAACCTCATCGAAAGCCTGTGGAATGTCCAAGCAAACCACATCTTCTCGTTCTCCCTTACCAATTCTACTAGTTACATTCTCGAAAAATTCCAGTAGATTTATCAAGCATGATTTCCCTTTCATAAATCCATGTGGACTCTATCCAATCCTGTCATCATATTCCGAATGTTCTGCCATTAAATCTTTTTATAATGGACTCTAGCATTTTCCCCATTACCGTTGTCAGGATAACCAGTCTATAATTCACTGTTTTCTCTATACCGGCTTTTTTAAATAGTGGGATCACGTTAGCTACCCTCTAATTCATAGGAACTGTTCCAGACTCTATAGAAACTTGAAGATGATGACCAATGCATGCACTATTTCTGGGGCCACTTCCTTAACTATTCTTGGATGTATATTATCAGGACCTGGGGATTTATTAGCCTTTAATTCCATCAATTTCTACAGTTCTGTTTCTGGACTAATACGGATTTCCTTCACTTCCTCCATCTTACTAGTCCCTGTGCTCTGCAACATTTTTGGGACTTTATTTGTGGGATTTTATTTGGGACTTTAGCCCTACTTTGAGAACAAGTATGTATTTAATAATGTACGTATTTAATTAGCCTGTTATTTCTCTGTTCCCCTTAATAACTTTCTCTGTTTCTATGCTTGTTGATGGAGTTCTGTCTGGTTTTGTTTTTCAGTGGTTTGTATATCAGTTCGAGTTCAATGTGTTTGTTGATGGAGTTCAAACAAACATATTGACCTGGACCTGATGTACAAATCACTGAAAAAACAGAACCGGAAGTGATGCTAACCACCCCAGCAAACCGAGGCATAAATAACAAGTGGGACAGAACACCAACACTTCACTGGAAGCGCACTGTTACCTAGCAGGGTGACAAAATGTCTGCAATCAAACCCACTGGCTTGGCGAGCATGTTTACAACCTCATCCACAAACCGAGCTGCAAATCTTCTCAAAAACTTTAAAGATCTAATACTATCCCTAATTTCCCTTGTTAGCCATGGCCAGGCCACCTCTCTAGTTTTATTTTTGATCCAGATGCGAATGAATAATTGTTGCAGTCCCTCCAAGCACTCTTTAAATATTTGCCTATCCACCATCATTCCTTTAGTTAATGTTCTCCAATTTGCCATAGCCAACTCACACCTCATTCTAATGCAGTTTCCGTCATTTAGATTCAGGACCCTAGTCTCACAATCAAGTATGTCACACTCCATCTTAATGAAGAATCCATTCATATTCTGGTCGCTGTTACCCCAAGGGGCCTTGTTTAGCTAGATTGCCAATTATTCCTTTCTCACTACACAGTACCCAGACTGGGATGGCCTGTTCTCTAGTTGGTTCCTCAATGTATTGATATAGAAAACTATCCCTTACACACTCCAGGAATTCCTCCATTATGGTGTTGTTACTGATTTGCTTTGCCTAATCTATATGCATATTGAAGTTGCTCACCCTTACAGCTTTATCTTTATTGCTTGCATTTCTAATATCCTGTTTAATACCTTCCTCAACATAACCACTACAGTTTGAGGGTCTGTTTACAGCCCCCATTATCATTTTCTGCCCCTTGATATTCCTAAGCTTCACCCTTACAGATTCCACTTCACCAGAGCCAATATGTTTTCTCACTGTTATGAAATTAATCTTTAACTAGCAATGCTACCCCACCTCCTTTGCCTTTTTGGCTGTCCGTCCTAAAAACGGACTAGCCCTGGATATTCAGTTCCTGTCCTTTGTCACCCTATAGCCACCTCTCCATAATCCCTTTTAGAACTATTTGTGCAACTAACTTATCTACTGTTTGCTAATGTTCCATGCATTAAGACACAGGGCCTTAAGGCTTGCCTTTTTAACATTCTTTGTCCCATTCACATTATTTTACAATGTGGTTCCTGTTTGAGTCTTGCCTTGTATATCTGACTACCATTTTTCTTATTTCCTAATCTGTCTTTTGTTTTTGCCCTTGTTTCCCTTCGTCCTGTATCCCTGCATACATTCGCATCCTCCTGCAATTTTAATTTAAACCCTGCCCAACTGCAGCACAAGTATGGAGATGAATAAAAATGGGAGATCAGAGAGCTGGCGGAAGTTAGGGCCTCTTGCAGTTCTTGTAAATGGTGCTTAGTAGTGTTGGTGTAGTTATATGCATGTACAGTTTTGTGGGGAGGTGGGAACTTCTTGAGTAGATGTTCAGTTCATTGGAGAAGGAACAGCATTCTGTGAAGTGTTCATTCATTGGTGTTGTCTACCCAGCTGGCCCTTAGGTTGTTCATTGGTGGTCTTGGACAGGTTGGGTCTGTATACTGCTAAGTGTTGAAGTTGCAGGCAAGATTGATTTTTTTTCCTCCTTAATTACAGGCTTGAAATCCACTCCCTCCACAACCAATGCTCAATAGCAGCAGTGTATACTATCTACAAGATGCACTGTAGAAATTTACCAAACATCCTTAAACTTCGAAATCCACGACCAATTCCATCTGGAAAGACAAGAGCAGCAAATACATGGGAACACCACCTGCATATTTCCCTCCACGCTGCTTACCATCCTGACTTGGAAATGTATCGGCATTCCTTCAGTGTCATTGGGTCAATTCCCTCCCTCTTGTTCCTGTATAGCTAGTGACATATTAAAATTATGCAGAATCAGCTGAGAAAAATAAAATAATGCAAGTACATAAATTTCTAGGTGAAGCCTTTCATTCATACTAAACAAAATGTATATATAGTTAGCAGTCATGGATCCAAGTAATCATTCTGTGCTTCTCTATGTACAGTTGCTGAATATTTCCTTAAAACATAAACTTGGAGCCTTGAACAAAAAGCTAGTACTAAGAAATGAGAGCAAATTAGAAACCAAAAAAAATGCAAATTTCACTGATATGCCTTCTACAATACCATAAATATATTTGAACACTTGCAATCAAACTGTTAGTTTTGTTTTTCAACAGGCTTTGCATCTCAGTTTTCGTATGTTTTTCAGATCTGTATAGAACAAAAACAACCATAAGATATCTAGCCAGATGTAGCAATAAACTCAATCATTGAATACAGAGAGCTCGTCATCCAAGCCACCGGTATTCTTGCTTTCATAAATGTGTTCCTGTTTTCTGGATGCCCAAACAGAATGCTGCCATGCAAAACCCCTTTTCATTTGCTCTGTGTATTCCTTTTGAATTTCAGGACATGGCCCAGTTGTGCAAGGTGCATCTGAGAAAATTAAAGAGTACATAGCTCACAGAAACTTGAGGGAACAACAGATTTTAAAGGTTTTTCAGGAGCATTCAGAACAACATTTCAGCCCAACGGAACTTGTTAAAAGTGTTTATAAGGTAAACCTTATTTTGATTTATTTCTGAACAAAATGCAGGATGATGTTCTTAATTCATGTGCATTATTGGCTTTCAAAGGGGAATTGGTTAAGCACCAGCGACAGAAAAATGTGCAGTTATGGTGAAAAAGCAGGAATTGCTACTGTCTGATTGATAAAGTCACAATAGACCAAATGGCCTCCTGTACTGCAACCATTCTATGACAAAATGGATCAAATTGTTAACTGATATCATATGATACTTATCAGTATCTTGATAAGTTAGAGTTCCACAGTTTTTCTCATTTATAGACTTCATTACAACCTTGGTCCAAACAAGGTCAGGAGCTGAATACCACAAGTTGAGGTGAGATAAGAATAGTTACCCATGATATCAAGGTTAATATTCAACTGATTGTAACACTGAAGAGTCTACATTAGTAAAAGTTAAATCAATGGGGATTAGAGAAAAAGCTATCTAGTGGCTGGTGTCATGCCCAGCACAAAAAAAAGATTGTTGTTGGAGGATAGTCGCCTCAATCACAGGACATTAATGTGTCCAACCACATTTACCTGCTTTATCAATGACATTACCTGCAGCATAAGGTCAGAAAAGGTGCTGTTTGCTGATGATTGCATTTTTCAGACTCATTTAGAAGTTTCTCAGATTGTTCTCGGTTTGTTACGATCAGCAGAAGAGGATACACCCCATCTCTTCTCTTAAACCCTTGTTTGGCTGCATCAAGAATTTTTATTTCTTCGCAACAGCAACTATATTACACTTCACTTAAAATGTAGTTTGCTTGTTGAAAGTTAAAGAGCCAATTACAAGCAATTTTTTGCATGAAATAAAATTAATCTTCCTACTACTAACCTGAAGAAAAGTAATAAAACACAAGTACACACATAAAGACAGGTATACGCTTGTCTTTATTGCTTAGACCATT